ATGGCCGGTGGGAGCTCCAGCTGCGTGGGACACTGGCCGGTCTTTTCCAGGCCGAGTGGAATCCCTGGGAACCGGCAGACTCACTCAGGGTCAGACCCTCCACCGCCAAGAGCCTGAGGCCGCTTGTGATGGCTTGGCCTGGTGGCCTGGGGACCAGGGCCCAGCACTCCCACACAGCTCCCTGCTGGACACACGCCCCTGTGGCAGCTGGACAACAGGGGCTCGAGGGGACACAGCACTGGTGCATGGCAGAGCCATGAGGAGCTTCAGCCACTGAACGGGCGAGGCGGGGACATCCCATCTCAGGGGTGGGCGTGGGCCGAGGACCTGGCAAACCATGAGGGAGGGAATGACCAGCGTCCCCTGCAGTGGCATCGCCAGCCAAGTAGGATGAACATTATCTTTTCTATACTTATTCCTACTTGTATGTTTGTTTTGTTTTGATACAAGGTCTCCTAGGGTAGCCCAGGGTGGCCTTGAATTTGCAGCAGCTCCCTTGCCTCAGCCTCCCGAGTGCTGGGACTGCAGGTGAGCACCGTCATGCCCGGTTCCAGGCCATCGTTTTTGAAGTAACCACTTGAGCTCAGAGCAGGAGGCCCTGTGGTCTCTGGGGCTGATGGTGCCCCCCGCTGTCCAGGCCTCGCAGCACTGGGAACCCCGGGCCACCCCTAGGACTCAGAGGTGTCCCCCCTGACCAGCAGGGCCCTCCTCGCCCGCCCCAGGGCAGTGGGTGGGAGGGGAATGAAGGGTGGAAGGAGCCAGCCTTCGCCCCTCGCCTGAGGTGGCGTCGTCCAGAGCCCTGGGCAGCAACAGCGTGCGGGTCACATGACTCCCGTGCCTCGCCCCACACTGCCCACCCCTGCCTGGCGCCGGGGGTGCCCAGTGAATGACGAACGAACAGGCCCAGCACTCAGCAGGTCGGCTCCATGAGGAGGAAATGCTCTGACCTCAGGCCTTACAAAGACCCAACTGGCGCTAACTGTGTAGAGCATTAGAAGTGGGTTTTAGTCCATGGGGGAGATTCTGTCACAGCAGCTGCTGCACTGCAAGCCATAGGGTTTCCATGTCCAGGGCTGAGGGCCATAAGTGGGGGCCCAGTGAGTAAGCTCAAAAGCCTGGATGATGTGGGATGGCATGCAAGGTGGCGCCTCAACAGTCTTTAAAAAGGACACTAAAGCCAGGCATGAAAGTGCATGGCCATAGTTCCAGCTACTCAGGAGGCTGAGGCAGGAAGATTGTTGTGAGTTCAAGGCCAGCATGAACTATATAGTGAGATCTTGTCTCCGAGAACCAAAATGATAAATAAATAAGAAAATAAAGTTCCCAGGCTGTTCTAACGCGACCTGCAGTGTGTGCCCACTGTGTAACCCTCGAAGGGCATCCCAGCACATCAACAGGAGGCCGGGTGTGGGGTCTCTGGGAACACAGGCCTTCTAGCAGGGCTTCGGTGTGGGTGGGGTGTTGCCCTTGGGCTGGGGCAGACAGGCCTCACCTGCCTGCAGGACAGCACCGGGGGGAACCGGGCATGACTTCCACTGCCCAGGCTGGCGAGGTTGCCAGGCTGAGGAGGGCACTGTGCAGGGCTGTGGGGTGGCACCGGGGCGACAGAGGCCGGCCACTGGCAGGAGTGAGCCCGGAAGGTGCCCGAGCTCTCCTCCCGCCTCCTCTCCCTGCAGAGCCCAGCCTGAGTCTGGGCGGCAGGGACAGCGTGGTGGGGCTGTGTCTCGGTGCCCTTCTGCTGGGGCAGCATCACCCCCTGTGCCCATCGGGAGGGCAAAGGCTGAGGGCCCTGCGGCTCTGGAGCTGAGGCTTTCCCAGGGCAGTGCAGTGGGAGCTGCCTGAGTCCTCCATCGCGGCCCTCGGTGGCTGTCGGCCCTGCTGGAGCCTGAGCTGCTGCCCGCACCCTCGGGGGTGGCACACGAGCCGTGGACACAGCCTCACTGACACCCATGGGCTGCGGCCCTAAGCCCTGGAGGGTGGCTGGACATCCTGGCCAGCTGGTGGACCCGGGGGCAGTCTGGGGTCACTGTTCTCGCCCCCCGCAATGGCCTGCACGCCTTGTCTGCCCCTGGGGAAGCCGAGGACGGCACGTGGCAGGGACGCACACTCCCCCTCCCCTGGTGGGCAGTTGCAGTCAGGCCCCGAGGGCTGCCCGAGGGTCCCTGGGCCCCAGCTGCCCCCAGCCCCACGAGGGGCCCTCCTAGCGCCCTCTGAGCTGGCCAGGTGGGGACACCTGTGATGCTGGTGCCACCGGCCTGGGCCCTTGTGTGCCTCGCATGGCCCTCCGGGCTCGGCGGTGCTCACAGTTCTGAGAGTTGCAGGCCCAGCTTCGGGCTGCCTTGAAGACCTTTCCCACGTGGCTCCTGAGGCCACAACAGTATGACTTCCTCTTCAGGCCGGAAGGCAGACAGGAAGTCCAGAAGGTGACTAATGTCTGTGGGCTGAGCGGAGCCCTCCACAGTGCTGTCAGCCGGTGTCCGTCAGGGACCCCTCGGTCCCCCAAACGCCATGACAGTTAAGGCCAGAGGCAGAACGGACGCCGCAACCCATGGGGCTTGGGACGGTGATGCGCAAAGCCTGGGCCCTGCTGTGGAAGCAGAGCCTGAGCTGCCCGCACAGCCGAGTGGACAGGCCCAGCTGTCCTGAGGAGGGGGACCGTGCAGCCGGCAACAGCTGGAGCGGAGTCCCGGGTGGCACTGCCTGAGCCGGAGCTTCGGTCCCGCTTCTTCTCAACAAGAGAGCGCCAGGCCGAGCTGCGCCCAGAGTGTGGCGCCCCTCGGATCCAGCCCGGCTCTGCCCACCCCGGGCTCCCAGATCGTGAACTCTTCACGGTGCTCTCTGCTGCGTTCTGTGCCCTCACTGTGCTGCAGCAGAGGCTGCAGGGCTCGTGACGTGGAACGGCCCCTGCCGGTGTGTGCACTCGACTGCAGCAACCACGGGGCATGGTTTCCGGGCCGACCCAGCCCACTGCCCCAGCTCGCCCTCCCGTCTCCTCTGGATCTAGTCCGTAGAGAACGGAGGGCAGTGAACAGCGTGCTGTGTGCTCTTCCCTCCTCCCTGGTCACCCGAGACTCGGGGCGATTGCTCCTGTGAAGTAGGTGGTTCTATCAGAAGGTGGGCAGAAGAGCCGGCGTTGTCAAACCAGAGTTCCGACGTCACAGTGGGTACAAACAGATGTCGCCGAGGGGCTGGGCACCGGGTGGCTGGCTCTATGCAAAGTGACCGCACGGGCAAGTTGGAAAGTCCCCCTGCAACCTCAGCTGTGGTTCAGTAGCTCAGAGAACCACCCTCTGTGCACAGAGCAGGGGACACCAGCAAGCAGACCCCGGGCTGGCAGGGCCACTGGGGCCACCGCAGCTGTTGCCCTGGCCGGAGGGCCTGGGCTGCAGCTCACAGGACGTGGCAGTGGGTATCTACCTGTGCAGGTGCTCGTGGGCCTGCAGACCAGGCTGTGGACGTAGGTCCCCTGCCTCGGGCCCCTGGATGTCACCCAGTCGGATGTGTGCAGGCCCTCGAGCCCGTGTGGAATGTGACTGGCCTGGCTCCGTGTCCCTTCTGCACACTGCGTCTTCCCTCCCAATCCTGCACACCAGCCTGGGGCATGGGGTCCTTATTGGGCCACCCGGGCCAGGGGACAAGGCCAGGAGCTCCTAGAACCCTGAGTCTTGAAGGGCCGGGCCCAGCAGCAGCCTCCTGGGCTGATGCCAACTGCCCACACTGCCCTCGCCAAGCAGGCCTGTTCCTGTCCCCTGGCGGCCGCTCTGCAGGTTCGGGAGAGCCGGGACGTGTCCAGGCCTGCGGAGAGCAGAGAGTGGGCTTCCTCCTGTGTCATCTCCGGCCCATAGTCCTTCCAGGACCAGTCGACTGCACCCCCCCAGCCCGCCCTGGAAGAGAGGATTCTGGGAGCTCTCCCTCGGCAGCAGCTTGTCAACTCCTCAGCTGCCGCTCAGGGCGCAGGGGCCCTCACCTCAGAGCCAGGGTGCAGTGTACAGCACCCTGCCCACGGGACCGGGCAGCCCCCTCCCTGGGCGGCCTGGAACCACACCTCCCAGAAAGGTGGGCGCCCCAGGCTTTGCTCCATCCATGGGGGTCAGGGTGGGTGGAGAGAACTAGGATGCAGCCCAGCTCCCACCTGGCGAGGGGAGGTGGGGAGCAGCGAGGGGGAGCCTGCGGAGGGAGGGGCCTGGAAGCTCTTGGCTGGATCCCTGAGGGCAGGGCAGGGGCACGGGGCTCTGGTCTCAGACCTCAGCCCTGGCCAGGACGCTGTGGGGTTAGCTGGTCTGGAGCCAGCGTAGCCCGGACACTGTCCCCAGGGGACATGCAAGGCCTAGGGGCTCCCCCAGTGACAGAGCGCTGCACCCTGCCAAGGGGCCTGCGGCTGAACCCCCCTCCCAGAGCTGGCCACATCTCAGAGGAAGGCCCTGGGATCTCAGTGTCGAGCCCCACTTCCCCGGGCCCTGTCCCTTCCCCCAGTGAAGGCAGGACCACCGTCCTCAAGGAAGTGCCGACAACTTCCCCGGGGCCCCTGAGAGCCTTCTCGTGAGAATGGGGACGGAGGGGTGGCCAGGAGGGGGCTCTGGTCCCACTGCAGAGACCCGGGGTGGGGAGGGCCCCTGCAGAGCACCGGCTGCGGGACAGGGGACTTCTAGCCCTGGTGGGGACCGTGGCAGGAAGAGAGCTGAGGCCTGAAGCCCGTACTCCACTGAAGGCCCCTGGACTCTGGCCCTCTCTGGGCTTCCGGAGTTGTCAAGGTCAAAACCACTCCTGGACCCACGCAGCCTGCGTCTCCTCGGTCTCGGCCCCTTTCTGAAAGACTGGGGGCTCCGGAGGAGGAAAGGACAGTGGGCCGCATGGGCCCCGCTCAGGGACCCCGGGGATGCGAGGCTTCCTGAGCCCCTGTCCTGAGTCACCGGATCGCTGCTCCCGGGCACAGCTGCTGGCTACCCACACCCTGAGGCTCCTGGGCCTCCGTGAGCGACAGTGACGATCCTGAGCATTGTGCAACAGCGCCATGTTTTAATGCTCTCAGGCAGGCGTCTGGGCCCCTGTTCAGCCACATCCGGAGCCCACGCGGGGACTCCGCCAGGAAACTAAGCTCTTCACCCACCAGTGCCCACCACTCTCATGCCTGTCCTGCCTGGGGCCGAGGGACACAAGGCTCATGCGCCTGCCAGTGCGAGTGGCTGTTACCTCAGGGCCTCCCAAGGAAGGGGGCAGTGCACCTGACCAAGCAGGGCCACGGACCTGTGTCCCTGGGGGACCGCGCTGCCCACTGCAGCTCCTGCGCACAGCCAGGTCACCTGGCAGCTCCGTTCTAGACCCTCTGGAGGACAGCAAGTCTCTCGGTCCACTCTGCAGCCGCAGACACCCTGTGGGAGCTTGGCCCTGTCCCTGGTGTGCTGGGGCCTCTGAGGAAGCTGGTGGGCTGAGTCCAGGTGGCCTGGGCATGGCAGGACCACCGAGGCTGGGCGAAGACCTTGGCACCCGGAGTCCTCTGGGTACGGGACTGGCTTCAATCCCTGAACCACACTGTGCTTCCGGGAAGGCGCTGCACTGCTGTCCCTCTGCAGAGCCAGCTGTAGGGCAGCCTGGTGCACAGTGGCTTTCTTTGGACAGAATTCCACTTAGCTTTGGGCAACACTAGCAAGGTCCATTTCCCTCTTGCTGGAGATGGCAGAGGAGGTGAAGCTCGGGGGGGTCCCAGGGTCTGCAGTGTGGACCATTTCCCACATCAGTGCATACACACTCACCCAAGCAGTGTGCACACATTTGCACACAGGATCTCCCAGCACAGGAGGGCAGCCAGCGAGCCCTCCCACCGAGTCTCTGCAGACAGCAGGCGTCCTCTGCTCTCCTCACTGTGAACCCAAAGCTCTTCCTTCAGTCTGAGACTGCGACTGCCAGGCTGGGCTGGGTGTGGCCAGAGCCTAGCGCCAAGTCCTGGTGCTCTCGGCATCCGTGCGGCGCTGAGGATGGGTGGCCTCCACTTGGGCACTACAGTCCCTCCCGGCTGCTGCCACCATGCACAGGCTTCCCTCTGGGTCAGGGGCAGCCCCTGTGCCCCCGCAAGGCCGGCAGCTCCTGTCCTCACACAGCACGTGCGGGGGCCCCAGCCTGCTGTTCTCGTTGCCACCAGGCCCGGGGTGGGGGGTCCATTCTCAAGCAGCACCTGACCCCGTGGGGCAGCATCTTGAAGATGCCCCGCCCATGTCCTGGGCAGTGAGTTCCTGTCAGGCATGGTCTGGGGAAAGGAGAAAAGAGGGAACGTGAAACACTGGAACCTCCATTTTTCTTTTTCTTACAGCACCTGGCATAAACTGGGCAAGTGCCTACCACTGAACCACCCGTTCCCCACTCATCACGGAGGCCCAGAGAGGCTTCTCCAGGGACTCAGGCTGATGGGGACAGATGCCTGCAGGGCCCCAACTCCAGCAGGACAGCCCTGGCTCTGCGGCGTGCAGACAGGGTGGGGTCTTGTGCCAGGGTGCCCACAGGAAGTGCTGAGCTCATCACCGGCTTCACTGGGTGTTCAAGGCCAACAGCAGAAGTTTTCTGGACACCGGAAAGGAGGCCAGCAGCCACGCATGCTCCTGCACCCCAGGGAAACTCACCTGTGAGCTCCTGCTCGTGGGTCACAGGGCGGGCACCTGCGAGACGAAGCAGAGGCGCTCAGGGCCAAGTGGGGTGCAGCTGGTGCTCTAAAGACCCCAAGGTCCCCAGCTGACAGCAGCCCCAGGCCCTGGGCGCCCAGATCTTCCTGCCATGGAGGGAGATGCCCTGAGTGTCAGCCACACGAGGCCACGGAAGGCGCTCCCTGACGGGGCCTTGGAGTGGCAGGGGCAGCGTGGGTGGAAGGAAGTATTTCTGGGATGCTGCTGTCCTCTCGATCCGGCAGCCACTCATGGGTGCCACGAGGGAGGGAGGGCCAGCACAGTGGCCCAGGTGCGGGCCTTCCCACCCTGCCCAGAGCTCCCCTCTGCACCGTCAGGCCACTTCTGGGTCTGTCCTCAATCGAACAGAATCACAGCCAGACAGCCCCTCCTCAGCTGGCTTCTGGTCCCCATCTCCAGACTCAGAATCCACCGCCCCCCAAACTGGGAGGGGGGGCTTCTTGCCCCGCCCTCTGGCTCAACTGCATCTGGAACTCAGTGCCTGGAGACGTCTGGGCTTTGAATCGGCTTCCTGGAGGGTTTGGCTGCTGACACTCGTGCGTGCCAGCGCTTTGCAACTAAGCCACGAGTGAAACCCGCAGCTTGCTGAGGTGGGGATTTAGAAGGCAGAACACTCACACCGGCACAGGGGAAGTGTGCACATGCTGTCTTGTACATACCTGTGTAGCTTCTATGACCACATCTGGCCCAGGTGATGGCCACGGCCACCAGCACCACCACTACCAGGACAGCGACAATGCCCAGGACGGCGGTGCCTCTCTGCCCGGGGGGCAGGGCCGGGGTCTCTGTGATCCTGCCTGCGTTCCCTCCGGTGGAAGGCTCTGTAGGGAAGAGGGGGCAGGCTTTTCTCCTCGGCCACAGGAGGGTCCTGTGAGGGAGTGTCTACCCCAAGGAACCCTGCTGACACCCTCATCCGATGCGTAGGTCCTGGGCTGCTGCCAGACACAGGAACCCAGCCCTGGGGGAGTCACTGTGGAAATGCAGGTTCTCCCGGGCTTTTAATCAGGGTGGAATTCATGAGACACACAGTCACATTTTCAAGTGACCATTTGGCAGTGACATGCAGTACATTCGCTGTGCTGTGCAGCTGTCAGCCCAAGTGAGCAGTGACCACTGGCAGCCGCACCCCGCTCTCTGCTTCTCTGCCGAGGCCGCCTCTACTCTGCTTCCTGACCCTGAGGCTCCATTCCGCACACTTCCTATGAATGGTGTCATGTCACGGCCTGGCCTGGCACCTGGCTTTGGTCACCGGGCACCGTGTCCTCGGGGTTCACCCCACAGCACAGTGCCAGAGCCTCTGTCTCCTGGCGTGGTGGGATCCCTGGTGTGGTGGCCCCACTGTGCTTGGTCTGGGCTGGGTACGTGGAAGGTGTCCACTCTTGGTGCTGTGAGGCCACTGCCGTGGACGCTCACAGGTGTCTGCTCAGTCCCCGTCTGAGGTGCACCCTAGGTCTGTCCCAGGTGCATTCTCTAGGACCCTTCAGGCTCTCCCTCTGCACCAGCGCCCCGTCCTTCCATTCTTCCTTCTGGCAGCAAGGCATGCAGGGCCCGGACTCTCCTGCCTTGAGTCTTTGTGCTGCACAGGCGTCTCGTCCTGAATGCCCACGTGGCTCAAAATGCGGCCAGAGACCTGCGACCTTGACAGCGGGTGGACCTTGAATGTGCTCTAGCGTCATCCGGACGCTTGCAAACCCTGCCTCAATGCAAGCACCGGGCCGGCCAGAGGCTCTAATCTTTGGCTCCACCTCTCAGGGCTGCCTGGGCCACTGGGGTGGGGGGCAAAGCCCTCACCCTGTCCACGCAGGCCAGAGGCCCGAACACAGGTCATGAAGCTGCTTCTTGATTTCAGGCAGCAGGGCCCTGAGCTCAGAGGCCTGCTCGGTGTGATGCTTGCTGACGGTCCAAGTGCTCGGCGCGTCCCACATCTGTCTGGCACCCGGTCCTGGGTTCTTCGGGGGGTCCTGTGAGTGCTGCCTCGTTTCTGTGGCTGGGCCAGAGGGCACAGCCCCCAACCTGCCTCCACTTCCGGCCCCTCCCGACCCAGGCGGCAGCAACACAGGCTTGGCAGAGTCCTGGCCAGCACCCATCTGGCCCCTGCTGCCTGGTCCTGTGGCTTCTGGAGTGCTACCCGGCCCCCCAAGGGAGCCTCGGCTGCATCTGCACAGTGGTCTGTGGTGGAGGCTGAGTTAGGAGGCGCCCACGCCTGGCAGCTCTCCGCCCGCCTGCCTGCCCGCCTACCTGCGGGGCCACTGCTCGTGAGGTTCTGCTGCAGGAGCATGTTCTCCACGCAGCAGCCCACGCTCAGGCCGGGCGCCCAGGGGACGGTCAGCACGCTGATCATGTCGTACAGGCCCCGCGCGTTCAAGGACACGGTGTCGTTGTGCAGCGCCCTGTCCAGCAGGCTGTGGTCTGTCTTGTTGATCCAGTAGACGTTGGGCCGCGGGTAGCCGTCAGTGGATGTGCAGGTGAAGGTGAGCGCCTGGTCCTGGTGGGGGGCACTGGCCACAAGCCTGCTGACCACGGGCATGCTGAAGTTGGCTGTGGGGACAGGTGGACAGTTAGCGAGGCGGGTACACGTGCCCTGGCAGGCTGGAGCGCAGTGCCCGCCCTGGGAGGGGCTGGGCCAGGGCTGAGCTCAGGTCCTGCCTGCCCTTGTTGCCACCCCAGCAGGGGATGCGGCTGAGCCACAGGCGGTCCCGGCTCCAGGCGCTGCTCTAGGTCTAGTGCCCCTCTCCGGTGGCACAGCCAGCACCTGCTAGACTGCACCCTGAGCTCCTGGGTTGCATGTAAGTTTCTGAATTCTGATCTCATTTGGTTCCTTAGAGCACCCTCTCCTCTTTTTTTTTTGGTACCAGGGATCGAACTCGGGACCTTGCACTTGTGAGGCAGGTGGCAGCACCAGTGAGCTAAATCCCCAGGTCTCTCCTAACTCATTTTTAAAATGTCTGTAGTTTACATTTGTTTTGTTTTGTTTTTGTTTTTTTGGTACTGGGGATTGAACTCGGGTCCCTGCACTTTCGAGGCAAGCGGTGGAACCACTGAGCTAAATCCCTGGCCCTGTAATTTAAATTTAACTTAAACTTTTTTTGCGGGGGGGTACCAGGGATCCAACTTGGAACCTTGCGCTTTCAAGGCAGGCGCTGGAACCACTGAGCTAAATCCCCTGCCCCCCTGTAATTTAAATTTAAGATTTATTTTTATTAATGTAGTACATAATGATCACATTTATTGTGAGGGGGTGGTGCATGGATATAGCACATATTAATTCTTTTTACTTCCCCACCCTAATGTGTTTTTTTTGACTGGTCTCACTATGTAGCCCAGGCTGGCTCTGAACTCACAGGAAGCCTCCTGCCTCAGCCTCCTGAGTGCTGGGATGACAGGTGTGCACCACCACACCCAGCTCTAACTCATTTTTTAAAATCTAGTTTGAGTTGCAGAGTTCAGGGCAAAGACAGCAAGCCTGGGGAATCTGGGGAACCAGGTGGCCTCCATCCGGTTAGTTATGAATGGAGGATCCCATGAGTACTTTCTCCAGGCCTGAGGCTGGATGAAGTCAGACCGCCCCCCTTCCCCCGCCCAGTCTTACCTGCCACACGCAGCGACACCACGGCTCTCAGAACCTCTCTCATGCTCAGGGACTTCCTGAACACTAAGCAGGTGAACCTCTGCGCATCCTGCAGAGTGACGTTTCGTAAGTGCAGTGAGAAGTCGCCCTGCCTCACGCTGTCCAGCGACAGGTGGGCCCGGCCCTGGTAGCGGCTGTCAGCTTGGCCCGAGGAGTTGTTTTTGGGGATGTGGTACGTCACCACGGTGTTGGACTCACTGATTTGCCAGTAAACGTACACGTCATCCAGGTCGAAATCCAGCCTCTCGGGGTACATGCAGCTCAGCAAACAGTCACTGCCCACCTTCGCTCTGACTTCCGTTTGTTGAATCTCTGCAAAGATTCAAAGAGGAGACATTTATTTCCCCAGACAACTCTTCCCCTGTGGAGGCACCCAGGCTTTAGGGTTACAAGACTCCAACACACAGGCTGGGTGTGGCAGTGCACACCTGTCATCCCAGCAGGCGGGAGGCTGAGGCAGAAGGATCACTTTGAATTTGAGGCCAGCCTGGGCTTCATAGTGAGTTCAAGGGCAGCCTGAACTACATAACATAACAAGACCCTGCCTCAAACAAACAAACAAACAAACAAACAAACAGAAAGACTCAAACACAATTCTGAGTCAACAAAGCAGAAAGGAGTCTGTTAGCAGGACACAGACGGGGCCGGGGGGCTGTGTCCCATGGAGCCAGCACTATGGTGCAGCTGAGGGAGGGGCCCCTCAGGCCACTCTCAGCACTTCTACTTCTGGGGAGTACTCTGATTACTGCAAAATAAAAAGGGCTTAAAACCGTAGGCATGGAAAGAGAACAATGCCTCAGCCCCATTTATAATGCTGGCCACACACAGCTGGCCGTACCCTCCCACAAGCGGCCTCCAGGAAGGGGGCGTGTCCTGGCACCAACGCCCTCAGCCTAGGGTCCCTGCATGGCACATCCCTGCTTCCTGGCTCCTCCCCAGCAGTGGCTTTCAGGGCTCCACGGGGCTGACAGGCAAAGAGGCCAGGATGGAGAGGAAGCTCCTGTCCCTGAGGAACGACAGTCCACCCAGTGCAAGTGTGACATGAAATGGCAGAAAGAGACAGGTTTGCCTCTGCAGGCTTCAGTCCTGCACGTGCACCCTCGATCTAGGCGCCCCGCAGCCTCAGAAGAGCCATGGGAAGGGACAGCAAAAGGCTTCTGAAGCTCCTCTCCCAGCCTTGCACCGCACCGCAAACTTACCAGCACTCAGGCTGCCGAGCAGCAGCAAGAGCAGGCCAGGGCTGCAAAAAAACACCAGAAAGGCAGGTGAGACAGGGCTGCAGGTGAGTTGCCTGTTTCTCCAGGCTGCCGCTCCTGGCAGGAAGTGCTGATACCCGCTCAGAAGCGGAACTGGCCCGGACACACCTCCTGCCCCACACGAACCCCAGAAAAGCAATGCCAATCTGACCCGTGCTGGCCTGCCTCTCCTGGGGACAGATTCCAAGACACTCTGAAGTCCTGGGAAAACAGCTCTCCCAGCCTGGACACGGCAGGAGGCGAGCTGTTCTCAGTACAACCACCAAGGTTCAGAGCTGTACTAGCCCCTGGGGTCCCCATCGCCCTCCCACGGTGCCCCCTCCACTGGGGCCAAGGCCATTCTGTCTACCAGGGCCCCTCAGGGCAGCTGGGGCTTCGGGGACCCAAGGCCACTCTGGACCCTTGCAGGGGAACCAGCGTGCCCCTCCTGGGTGCCGCCTGCCCGGGTCCGCAGTGCCCTGTGCTTGGTGTGGGGAATCACGGTCCCCTGTCCTGCCAGGATGCCCCCAGCCCCAGGCCACGTCCCTGGACAGGCAGCAAAGGTGCAGCAGGCTGCAGGTGGTGACAGGCAGGAGGACCCCCGATGTTTACCCCCACTCTCCCGAGGGCACCAGCCCCCATATTTCTAGCGCGGCTGTGGGCAGACTGTGGGTGGGACACCTGGGGACAGAGCGCCCCCCTACACTGCGCCCTAAAAGGGATGGGCACGCTGGCGAAAAACCGGGAAAACCTTGGTCGCCACTGCTCCCCCTTCCTTCCAGCAGCGCCCTCTTCCCCGGCGTGGGGCCGCCGGCAGCGGGAGAGGTCCGGTCCCCACTTGTGCGGGGACAGGCAGCGTCACCAGCGGCCGCGCAGCATGGTCACATCCTTATTCTGGGAAATCAGCCGGTGCCCCGCGTCCACCCCGCGCGGTGACCGCGCCCGGGAGCGGGGACGCAGCCCGCCCGCGCCCGACTCAGGGCCCGACTCAGCCCGCCCGGCTCACCTTCGCAGCGGCATGGCGCGGGCCTCGGGCGCGGGACCGGGCGGGCACGTCGGCCGGGGACCTGGAACCAGGAGACCTCGGGCGGGGCAGGGCCGGGCCGGGCCGGGAGGCGACTCCGCTGTGCTGGCGCCCGCAGCTCTGCGCCTTGGCCGAAGCCGGTGGGTCGCGCCCCGCCCGCGGGACGGCGGGGCGGGGACAGCGGGCGCGAGCGGGAGGCGCGGCCCGGAGGGAGGCGGCCTGGGGTTGGCGCCGGTAGGGGGCGCCGGAGCGGAGCGGCGCTGTCCCCGCCGCCAGAGGTCGCGCGGCCCCGCCGGCCTCCCCGAGGGCGGGTGACGGCGCCAGACAGCGGCCAGCCGGCAGGTGTGGGCACTCTCGGGACGGGGCCCGACCGGCCTCTGCCCCAGCGCTCCCCGAGCCCAGCCCCTGCGCCCACCTGGGGCTCCCGGGGCGCACAGCGCACGAGCCAGTGAGGGGCCGAGAGCGTGGCCTGGGACCCGGCCCAACGCCCCCTCCCCCGCGGCTGCACCTTGCTGGGCTCTCCGCGGGGTTCCCTGGCACCCGCTCTGGGAAAGGCTGTGGCCCAGTCTCCCACACGCACACCCGCTCTGCTGACTCAGTTCTCGCTCCCCACCCCACCAGCCCGGCTGGTCTGCAGCCTCTGGTCCCAGGGCGCAGGGGTGTGTCCCGTTCCCATCCCATGCCCCATGGCCTGCAGCCCGGGCTGACCTTGGGCAGGGGGCCCTGGCTAGGCCGGGAGGGCCCGCAGTGCCAGGCAGAGGACCCGGACCCCAGGCCCCACTTGGGAGGTCCCCCTGCAGCACAGGCTGGCAGGCTGGGTACTGGCTGAGCTGTCTGCATAACAGCTTCACAAAGGACACAAATGGCCAGCTCCATTGTGCATGCTGGAGCACGCCTGAATCCCAGCATTCTGGGAGGCTGAGTCAGGAGGATCCCAAGGCCAGCTCAGCCCGGGGAACTTAGTGATTTAGTGAGGCTCATCTCAAAATTTAAGAACAAGACAAACCTTGGGGTGTACTCTGGGTTCAATACCCAGTGCCACCAAAAAAAAAAAAATGGGAGAGAAGAAAAGGCCATCTCCTGAAAGTTAATGTTCCTGAGGATCAAAGAGGGGAAGTAGCTGAGGGAAAAGATGAATTCCTGGTGGGAAGAGAGCTCCTGTGCAGGAAGATGGAGAGGAAGGCGGATGTGGGGCCGAGTGAGGTGAGCGAGCACCCAAGCTCCAGCCACGGAGAGAAGGAGGCATCTCGGCCCTGTGCGGCTGTGTGGCCTGCAGGACAGCAGGGTTTTCTCTGAGGGCAGGCAGGGGCAGAAGTCACCTGATGGGGAGCCCCAGAGCCACACCCGATGCCTGGGAGGGGAGGTGGTGCTGGTGGCTGAAGGTCCCCTCCCTGCTTTGCCTGTGTCTGGCAGGAAAGGGAGTCAGCGCAGCGCCTGAGGGTGACGTGGGAGGGGCTGATGTGGGGGGACGCCGAGCCGGACGCAGGGTAGGGCTGGGCCCAGCCGCCCCTCTGCACCTGTGGAACGGGGACTACCACATGCCTTCCTCATGGGCAGGGGCAGGGGGCTGTGAGGCGCAGTGTAGATACCCTCAGGTGTGCGCCACATGGCACACAGCGGCTGCCGACACCCCGGGCTTTGGGACCAAGAGGATCCAGGACCCTTGTTGGGGCTCCCCTGGCTGAGGGAAGTCTGGGTCCCCGGACCGTGACGGTTTCTCAGGCAGACAGCACGGCGCGGTGCCAGGGTGTGGGGTGTGGGGGAGGCGCGTGGGACAGGGGGCCAGCTTGAAGGTCAGAGTGAGAGAAGCACACTGCCGAGCTCCCCCACCGTCCTGTCCCGACTCCCCCAGTGTCCTGCCCTTGACCTCGAGGCGAGGTGCTCAGGCCCGGTGGCGCTCAGTCGGGCCCCTGCTCTGGGGACTCAGTCTCTCTGCCTGGATGTGCGGCCTCCAGGGCTGCTGTCCCTCAGTCCTGCACACTTGGTGGCTTGAACAGAGCAGCAGTATTTCCTGTCCCTGTCCCGGAGGCGGAAGTCTGAAAGCACTGCTCCACAGAAGGCTCGAGGGCTGAAGCTGCTCCCCAGCCCCTGGCAGTTCCCGGTGCCCCTGGGCTGTGGCCACAGGGGCGTCCCCTCGGCATGGTCCTGTCCGTCCACCTCCCACTTGTGAAGACATCGGTGACAGTTCGGCCTCCCGGTGGGCCCACACTGTGCCCCCTCAACCATGTCAGGGGCTTCCTTGCCTCCTCAGAAGGGGGCATCTACAGACCCTCCAGATGCCAGTACAGGCCCAAGGGTCCCCGGGACCTGGTGCAGTGCCTGGGACACTGAGGCTTCTCCCCGACTCACCAGGGAAGAATTCCCGTGGGACTCGTCGCCCATCCCCAGAAGGCAGCCTGCCCAGTGCTCTCTGGAGGAGCTGAGCTGCCGGGGGCTGCGGGGATCCTGCTCTTGCACCTTCCTCACCTAGTCCCACAGGCTTCGCGAGGTCTGCCTGCCTCGGCTGGCTTCGCTTTGTTCACTGCGGGTGGTGTTGGTGCTCTGCGACACTCTGGGGTGCTGTGTGCGGTGGCGATGGGGTGAGGGCTCGGCCTCCAGCTGTGTGAAGGACTCGGGGACATGTCAGCCTCCGCACCCCAAGGAACAGAACACCAAGATGGCAACAATCATCCTAAAAGTAGTGTATTTAACTCCACGGGAACATGGAAACCCCTCCAGGAAGTACACCTGTCTGTCCCGGAGGAGCAGGGTGGGGACCTGCACCAGGGACCCCGGGGTAGGTCTGCAGCCCCCAGAAAGACCCAAAGCCAAACACCGGGGTAAAATAAGAATCTGGAGAGGGATGAGAACAGCACGGGGACAGCTGTCTGGAAAAGCCTCCTTTTTTCCCTGTTTTCACGGTACAGACTCACTTACAGAGAGGAAGTGAATTCTGAGAAAAATAGGAGAAGTATTCCCTCAGCGGGAGAAAGCAGTTCTTCACTAGCGCGGTGGGCGGCTGGGAGCCGAGCTCTGTGCTCCGGGTGATGTGGGCCAGCAGGGACACTTCCTCCTCGGGGGCCAGGGCCGAGTGCCTGCTGCCAAGGAGGGGGACAGCGTCACGGGTGTCGCAGGCCAAGTCCCCAGGGGCAAGGGACAGGCGGTCCTCGGGCAATGGGCCAGTGGCCTTCACACCTCTCGCCTGCCTCAGGGTGCCCACACTCCATGTGAAGAGGGCAGCCTGGGGCCATCGGAGTGGACACAAGGGGAAAGTGCAGGACACAGGGGCAGAGGTCATCAGAGCCTTGGTGCACCCCAGCATTCCCAGAGGTTGAAGCAGCCTCATGTGGAGGCGGGGGGACCCTGGCCTGCAGCTTGATGGCCCGTTGGGAGTGGGCTTTAAGCCTGGGCCCCTTGTACCCCATCATGCAGCCAGGTCCTCACTGGATTGGCAAACATTTCTTGGCTTCCTTGGGGCCCAGTGTGCAGTGCCCCCCACTCTGCCCACATCCCCCTTTCTGGGGCAGCTAGGGGCCCATCTGTGACCACCCCAGTGGTGTCTGAAGGTGGAGTCACATGGGCAGTTGCCCACGGCCTTGGCAAAATGATTTCTCCTTCCTCTCCTGCGAAGCCCGGCACCCCATCTTGAGGTGCAGGGCCCAGGTCTCAGCTGCCCCAGGGTTCTGAGAGCAGCTGTGGAAGCAGCCCTCGGGCTTCACTGGGGCCTGGAAGGGGCAGCTGTGGGCTGGACCCCGACAGAGCCTTGTGGACACAGGGGGATGCGGGCCACGCCAGCCGCACGATTGCTTCTGAAGTGAGCTGCTCTGGGTCCCGGACCTACGGCTGCAGCGGGAGGAGTGGCCCTGGACCCCGGGAGCGCCCCAATTCCCCCAACGCCTCCTGCCCTGGCCGGCCCAGAGCCCACAGGGCTGTGGGAGAGAGGGGTGCGCAGAGAAGCCTAGCAGTCCCGGGCTGGAGGAGGCCGCCGCATCAGGCGGGCAAGGCTGGGGACGTGCTGTGGCCTGGAGTCACCAGGACGCCCGCACTGGGGGGCAGGGACGACTTTCCAGAGACTCGGTCTGGGGCGGAGGACTCAGAAAATGCAGGCCCTGCTGGGTGTCCCAGGGCACATGGCTGTGCATGAGTGTGTGAGTGAGTGTGTGCAGGACCGTGCAGCCTGCTGTCACTGGGAGGTGGCCGGTCACTGCCCAGGACTGAGGCGAGCCCCACGAGTTCCAGGTGGCCTGCAGACTCGGGCCTGTGTCCAGTGACCCCACGCCCTGTCAGGGTCCCCTCGCCCCGGTACCTCCTCACAGCTGGGATGTTGCTCCACACACGCACGGCGCCACGCACGACCCGGCCACGGACGTCCTGGAGGGTCGTGGGCTCGATCTGCCGGGAGGACTCTGTCAGTGGGCAGCCCCAGCCCCCAGCCCGTCCCCAGCGTGCTGCTTGCTGCTCGCCGCGTCCCTGTCCCTGTCAGCCAGCCCTCGAGAGCAAAGCTGACTGGCTGCTCACAGCGTCGTGGGTGGTCTGATCCCATGCTCCTGGCCTGACCCACGGCCCCAGGGAGCCCACGTGTGGCCTGGCTCTGGCTCAGGACTGGGGCTCGGCGGGCCCCACAAGCACTTGTCGAAGAAGCAGCTCTGACAATGGGCGCAACTTAGGCTGCCCCAGCTGCCCGTCGGGCCACAGCAGCGGTTTTAGGGGTCCAGATCTCCTAAGAAGAAGGAACCACAGCGGCGGAAGAAAGCGGCAGTGGCCAGGCCATTTTGCTCAGGTCTGCGAAGTGATACTTGAAACATGTTACACGGATTGCATTCTACGAAAACAAAACCCAGGAAACTGACCCCAGAAAAGAGCAGAGCTCCACGGTCACTTCCACAGAAGACGGCAGGGCACCAGGAGCGGCGAGGGCTGGCAGGCCTGGTGCGGCGAGTGCATATGCTGCTTAGTTCCAAGCTACAGTTTACAGACACAGAGCTGCGGTCCTTAGCAAGACGCGCCGCTCCCCAGACTGCAGGCCAGGTTGTCTCGGAGCAGACAGAACAGAGCGAGGGGCTATGGAAAAGACCCCCCCCACACACACACTCACCCACTCACACACTCACACACACACACACACACACACACACACACACACACACACGGGCCGCATGAGTACAGCAGGACATCACCCAACGGACGTCTGCCCCAGCTCCTCTCATGACGGGCGCTCTCCCTCCCAGTCTCTGATAAGCCTGCCTGTGTCCATTGCGCACCATGGGCCTCTCGCCCTTAGTCCACCCCACCCAGGTGCATAAAGTCCATGCCGCTCCGCTTTCCACCAGCCTGCTCGGCGGCCTAATTCCCCCGCCGTTTGTTACAAGGGTTTCACGTGACTTCATCCATGTTTCACGTACTTTTGTGAAGCAAGTTCAGCACATAAACCAAAAGTGATAACATGAGGGCCAGGGATTTAGCTCAGTGGTTCCACTGCCTGCCTCGCAAGCTAAGGACCGGAGTTCGATCCCCAGTACCAAAAAAAAAAAAAGTGATAACATGCCCACAAAACAAGAGGACGCACTGCACTTAGCAACTTAAAAAAGAATCCTAGGTGGCATCTGGTTCGTGGAGCTTAGGGACACATTAAAAGATCGATAGCCAGATGCAGTTGTACATGCCTGTAGTCAGCACTCTAGGAGGCTGAGGCAGGAGGACCACAAGTCTGAGCCCAGGGCCGGGGATTTAGCTCAGTGGTTTCGCCACCTGCTGCGCAAGCGCAAGGATCCAAGTTTGATCCCCGGTACCAAAAAAAAAAAAAAAAAAAGCAAGTCTGAGCCCAGTCTGGGTAATTTAGTGACTGAGCCAGTTCCTGTCTCAAAAAAATAAGAGTGGGCTGGCTGGGGGTTTAGGTCAGTGGTTTCACCGCTTGCTATGCAAGCGCAAGGGCCTGAGTTCAAACTCCAGTACCACACCCCCCAAAAAAGAGTAATATAAAGGGCTGGGATGCAGCTCAGTGCATGGATTTTTCCCATGAATACAAGGATGGTTGCTATGAAATCTATTTGTATATTGTATCCAGTTAACAGATCTGAGCAAGAAATTACCTACTCATCCTCACAGACATTAAAATGGTCTTGAACAAAATCCACCAGCTACTGTTGACGAAATGCTCGAAGCCACAGGTCAACAGGAGCTTCCTCAGCCTAGCACACTGTGTGGGCCACAGCCTCCATGCCAGACTGCAAACTCAGAGACCCTGGAAGTGTGGGGACCAGGAGCAAGAGAGGATGCCCTGCCACTGCAGTGACCCCACACCCCGTGGGGCCGGGCACCTCCTCGAGGCAGGGACACCCAGGCATAACGGCGGAGGAAACAACAGTCACTGTCCCACCGTGACCTGGCCAAGTACACAGAAAACCCCTGCGGCCAATGAAGGAACCCAGCAGGAGCCACAGGGATGTGGGGAGCGACAGCTCCAGGGCACAGAGCAAAGCCAGGCAGACATCGCACCGCAGAGACACTCAGCTTGGAGGAAGAGCAGAGAGGAGCCCTGGGTGCAGGGCGCATCCCAGCTGGGACCAGACCAGGGAGGACCGTTGGGGACGTCGTGAAATACACACACACACATGCACACACACAAGACAGGCGGAAGAGGACGTGATACGCAGGGAGGGAGATGGGGCAGGCGCAGGGGAGCAGAGAACTGGGGCGTCCACCTTCACCCGGAGGGCGCCGGCAGCCAGCAGGGAGCCAGAGTGCAGTTGGGGGCTTCTACTGCCAGGCTGCACAGCAGCGCGAGTGAGGGGGTGCCTGCAAGGAGCGGCACCAGGCCGGCCAGGGCCTCGGGAGGGTCCCAGAGTCCTGCTTCAGAGCTGTAGGTCCCTGCACCCCACAGCACCCACACAACCACCCAGCTCGGGGAAGGAGCCCCTTCCTGCTCGCTCGGGCTGCTTCTGAGCCGCCTGACAAACTCTGCACCTACAGCCCCCACCCTCCCCGCTCCTCCTCTGGGACCCGCCCTGCCCTCCCTGGAACCTGGAACACCCTCTCAGGTGCGTGTGTGTGTGTGTGTGTGTGCACGCGTGTGCGCACACCTGTGAGTGCACGGAGTGGGCACTGTGCCATGCAGTGATGTAGTGTAGCGTGTAGTGCATGCTCAGGCATGTGCAGGCGTGTGCGCAGACTGGAGGAGGCGGTGACCCCGGGGCCAAGCCCTGAGGACGAAGGCGTGTGTGGTGTGAGAGCCTCCCAGGCAACTGTGCGGGGAAGCCGAGGCCCTGGGGACCAGCAGCAGCAGCCTGGGCCATCCCGAGCCCTCCCAGCCTGTGCCACCCGCCTGCCCCCATCAGTAGCACCTCGAGGAAGCGGTTGGCGGTGGCCTGGTCATTGCTGGTCAGCAGCAGGTTGTCCACGAACATCCAGAAGAAGGGCTTCGGGCTGCTGGGCGGGGGCCTCGCGTACGCCAGCACCCGGTGGAACTGGAACAGGAACCACCCTGGCGGGCACAGCACACAGGGCTGAGCAGGGCACGTCGGGCACCCACTGCCCGAGCCCGGCCACGGGACTCCAGGGAGACCAGGGGGCAGGGTGGGGTGTGGCCCTGCCTCTTGTTCAGCCACCCTGGAACCCCGCAGCACAGGGGCACCTCTGGGCAGGGAGGGTAAGTGACAGCTACCGGGAAGCCTTGGGGATGGAGGGTCCCTCACTGTGGCCGGGCCAGGGGCTCCACAGGGGCCCTATTACGTCAGAATGTCCACACACCGGGCACGTGTTGGGACAGCTGGCCAGGACTATTTTATATACACAGCGGGCGGAGAGGTGCCCCGCTGGGCATGAGATGCCTGCTGCCACAGACTGCGGCCCCACACGGCTTACCGGGAGAATGGGCACTGGCGTGGCCCGGAGCGGGCGTCGAGCCGTACACGAGGTCAATTGGGCCCCACTGCTCAACCTGTGGGACACGGGCACACTGGTCAGTGGGCGTCCCCAGGCGGGGGCGCTGTCACCAAGAGCCAAGAGCACCGCCCCAAATGCTGCGCCCGAATCCGACCATGCACCCGAATCCGACCATGCACCCGGACGCCCCCAGCTGGGAGGCCCAGGGCGGGAGCAGAGCCCACAGGCTCTCAGGGCAGGCCCTGGATGGGGGCGTCGAGCAGGAGCACCCCAAGTCGGGAGGACACCTCGGAGGTAGGAGCACCAGCCCCAGGGGCCTCCCGTGCCACCATTTCCAGCAGCTGGGGGCGGGCGGCGAGGAGACACTTCCTGCCTGCCACAGACAGCCCTACATGGGCCCCACACCCATTCGGGGTCACCCACGGGCCATGAGCACTCAGAACCCCGCCAGGCGCTGACTGGGGAGCGAGCGGCTGGAGAGGAAGGTCCGGCAGAGGTGGACGAGGACGCTTGTCAACGCTGGCGGCTGAGGCTCAGTCCCGCTGCAGGCTGCGCCCAGGGGACCCTGCGGTGATGCGGACCCCACACTGGGCTGGCCCAGGTCCCCCAGAGCTGCACCCAGCTGCTCTTGTGCCGCCCCTGGGCCCGCCTGGCCACTCACGTCTCTCCGAACCACGTCTGTGACGTCCTCCAGGTGCCACAGCCTTTCTGCCTCAGACCCGGTTCCCAGGAAGCCCAGGCTGGCCAGCTCTGGAGGGAGACAGCAGGAGGCCCGGCTGCCGCGTGGACTCGCCCCGCGGGTGTCCAGTGGCCCAGGACCCTGCCTGCTGCGCTCAGGGTGCAGCTGTGTCCCTGAGGGCAGATGGAGGGTGAGGAGCAGGCTCCCGGCACAGGGCTCGCCGGCACGGCACTCGGTACTTGAGGCTGAGCAGGAGTGCGGCAAGTTCGAGCCCAGCCTGGGAAGCCTAGTGATAAGTGAGATCCCCTCTCAACAGAAGAGAAGAGTGGGTTCGGTCCCTGTTACTGCCCAAACAAACCAACCCAGCAAACAAAAATCCCCAAACCACCAGCAAAGGGCCCAGCGTATTCAGCGGTGTCCTGTGACCAGGCGTCTGGCTGTGGCATCGGCACTCAGCTGAGCAGTGACCCCGGAGCAGGCCGGGCTCCGCAGCCCCACCTGGGCAGCAAGTGTGGGCAGCCCAGGCCCCGCTGTGTCTCGATGCGATCACGGCCCCTGCAGGGCGCTGGGACACGCGGGGGACGGAGCAGCACCCAACCTGTGCCATCCATGGGGGTGACAGCTGGCTGGGGCCCAGACGTGGGTGTGGGAGGGGCTGGCAGGCTGGGGGCGGGGCGAGCCCCACCCTTGCTGTGGACTCCGTGCCCAGTGCTCGCCTGGGAGTGCCCTGCCTCCTCTCCCCTCTCCGTGCTTGGGGGCTCCCCATCTGGGCTCCAGCCCCCAGCCCCCAGAGGCCTCTCCTTGCCCTTAGACAGCCTGCGGGATGACTTCTCTCTGCCCCACTCCCACCATGGCCCAGCTCAGGAGCGTGCGGCCCTGAGGACCATGCGTGGTGGCTTCCTTTTCATTCCCAACCCCAGACAGACGCAGAGGCCCCGACATCCACCCCTCCCCACTTCCTGTAGGGGCTGCAGGATGTCACTGTGCTTACCTTGCTTAATGTTCCCGAAGAGGGACAGCACCCGCATCGGCTCTCTCTTCCCCACGGGCACCGTTTTGTACATCTTAAGGGGACTATCCTATGAAGGGGACGAAGGGAAAGCAGCTGTGTGGTGGCGCACACCTCAGTCCCAGCACCCGGGAGGCTGAGGCAGGAGACTGCTGCGAGCTCAAGGCCAGCCTGGGCTGCACAGCGAGTCCCTTTCTCAAAACAAGACAAAGCGAAACAACCACTCTGACACGAAGTCCCTGGGCAATGTGGAGCCCACGGGTCCCCATCTGGCCAAGAGGGAGGGTCCACCCCGTGCAGAGGGCTCTAGGGGGCGGGGCGCGCCTGTGCTCTGGGAGGTGCCCTGGAGACACTGGATACTGCTGTCCTGAGGGCCGCTTCTGCGCCTAGACCCGGAGAGGGCTGATGCCGTGCACGCCCGGTGGACACAGCCCCTGCTGCCTGGGCCCTGAGGAACCCGCTCCCAGCTGGGCAGTGCCAAGGCCCTCAGAGAAGAGAGCCTCAGTGGGTGTGGTGGGGCACACCTCAGTCCCAGCACCCGGGAGGCTGAGGCAGGAGGACTGCTGTGAGCTCGAGGCCAGCCTGGCTACACCATGACTGCCATGCTAAATGAAAGTGAGGAGCGGGCCGTCAGGGGAGGCAGACACAGCCTCGGCTCATCCAGCAGCGGGGAGGACGGCGCCCATGGCCACCCCACGCACGCCCTCACCGCCTGGAGGTCGTGGAAGGCCTTCAGCTGGTCCCGCCACTTCCGCCGCCTCCGCAGCAGCCCGTGGTGCGGGAAGGGCAGGCACAGGAAGCACACCCAGCTGTGCATGCTGTGCACTCTGTCCGAGGTCCCCGGGCCCACCAGCGCGTCCACGCACTCGAAGCAGTAGCACCTGGGGTCGACAGGAAGGAAGTCCCTAGCACGGCGGCAATGCCAGCAGCCCCAGCACCCGGGAGGCTGAGGCAGGAGGATAGCAAGTTCCAGCCCAGCCCGGGCCACTTAACAGCTTCCCTCGGAATTTAGAAAGTATTTTTAAAGGGCTGGGGGAGTGGCTCCGGGCCAGGCCTGGGCTCTGTCCCCACGTGGGACGCTGGGGACACCGCAGGTGCGGTCCTCACGCCCATCCCTCTCTCTCCAGACGCCAGGCTCTGGGAAGGCCTGGGGGGGCGGACAGGACAGGCGTGGGGCCCCACCCGCCTCACCGCGTGCACTCCGGGCTCTCGCAGATGAGCAGCATGTTTCCCGCCGCGCAGATGGAGCAGTGGGACTGGTACCCGTCCTCGTCATACATGAACAGGGTCTCCAGGAACCTGTCCTGGGGGACATGGGCCGCTGGAGTCCTGCCCCGGGCTGGGGTGCCCCGCCCGGGCCTGCTTACCTTGCATGGGGCACATATTCCTCCCTCGAAGAGGGGGTGCCGGGTGTGCACCTGGAGGCTTCCGCAGCAGAGGCAGACAGCTGAGGAGTACAGAGCAAAGCTGGGCAGGTGCAAGGGGACTCAGGGCCTGGCTCAAGGTCAGAAGCAGAGACCCAGAGCCAGGGTGTGGTGAATGCCTGTCATCCCGGCACTGGGAGGCTGAGACAGGAGGAGCTGCGAGTTCAAGGCCAGGCTGGGCTACAAAGGGAGGCCGTGTCTCAAACAACCAAGATAAATAAGCCAAAGGGCGGAGCTCACCTTCTATGTCCCGCTGGTTCTCCGTGACTTCGTAAGCGATGCTTTCTGCGGGAGAAGGCAGAGGTAGTCCTTTTTACCTCCCGCCTCCCGCCTCCCGGTCTGAACGAGGCCGCCCCAGTGCGCATGTGTGTCGGAGTTTGTCTTTTGTCTTTGTGGTACTGGGGATTCAATCAGGCCTTCACGTGGAGCTACATCACAGCCCTTTTCAAATTTTTGAGACAAGATCTTATTAAATTGCCAAGCTGTCCCGGCTGAGCCTCCTGCCTCAGCTTTCCAGAGTGCTGGCACGAGTGCTGCCCTCAACCACCTGATCTGGCGAGGGCCCTGGCCAGGTGGTAGATGGGACACAGTCGTCTCTGCAGCAGGGGCCTGGGTGGTGCGGGGAGCCCTCACCTCTGCCCCGCTGCGGTGCGGGGGGACGCGGCTGCTTGCCAGGGCTCAGCAGGATCTCATTCGCACGGTGCTCAGCCTTCACGTCCAGGGCTGGGCACAGGGGAGGAAACAGCCAGGCTCAGCCCCGGGCCAGGTCCCCCACCCCAAGAGCAGGCCGTGGGAGGAGAGGACCCCGGACTCCCAGGGCCCCGCCATCCTCACCCGGACGGCGGGCAGGGCCAGGCCTGCGACTGCCCAGGGCCTCCAGGCTCGGGGTCCCGAGGGTGGACTGGGCCATGGAGCCAGGGGACTGAGCCTTCCAGAACCAAGGACCCAAGTGGCAGTGGGAGACCCCGAGGAGCACGTGATGTGCAGGGTGGGGCGGGCGGGCGGGGCTCCTGAGGGACCAGGGCTGGTGGGGGCTGGGAGAGGAAGGCCTGGGAGAGCAGGGGTCGGAGGGGCCAGGGCAGAGGGGCCCGAGGGTGGGGGTGCACTT